CACCACTTGCAACCCCCCTCACCGCCTCATCTCCATCCTTTTCTCCTTTCCTTTCTGCTCTGCTAGCTGGGCATCACCTGTCCCACCCTAGGGCCTTTGCACATGCAATTCCACTGCCTGAAATGATTTTTTCCATCTTCTGCACCATTTAATATCCACTCATCCGTGCACTCAGCTCAGATGCCACTTCCTGGAGATCAGCCTGCCTCCGCTGGCCCTCTCTCCTGCCGAGCCCCTCACCTATAACTGCGACTTGTGGGCTGTGTTTATAGCACATTTTCTTACCTGAGCGGTGGAGGAAATGGGACTTCATTGTTCTCCAGCCACAGGAGGAAACGGCGCCTTCCTGGGCCCCAGCTGGCTGGCAGGGCTGTGCCGCCAAGCCCTTCCGACTCACGGGGCGCATTTGTTTAGAGTCTGAAAAATCTCCAAAAAAAAAAAAAAAAAAAAAAAAAAAAAAAAAAAAAAAAAAAAAAAAAAAAAAAAAAAAAAAAAAAAAAAGCCCTTCACAGGTGAGGGCAGCATGGCAGGATCCTGCAGGGCCCTCCGAAGCCAGTGCAGGTGTGAATGTCGTCCTTGTCCACTTGCGCCGGTCCCTCTGCCGCAATGCTCAGCGCCTACTGTCCAAATGCCAACGTGCCTTCACTTTGGAGCACCAGCGGCAGCTGCGCCTGGCTGCAGGTCGCCAACAGGCTCCAACCCCTTCTCTCTGGTTTGCGGGACAAAGAAACTGAGGCTCAGGAGCCAGCGGATGCCCCTGGTGCGCAGCGCAGGGCCAGGAGCCGGCCTCCACCAAGTCCTGTTTGCTGAGCCAGACCTTTCAGCAGCAGACTCAGCATCCTGCTCTCGGGTCACAGGAAACCAGAGGGATCCAGGGCCCATCCGTTTCATAGGTGAGGACGCTGGGGCCAAGCCCAGGGCCTCAGGGCTCCCTGGGGAGTTCAGCCATCGATGAGCTGCACTGAGCCGCTGCGTCTGTCTGCCATCAGGCTTGGTGCACCTATTGATTCTTCTCCCTCCTCTGTAGGGGAGGAGCTCCAAAGGCCAGAGGTCTTAGGACAGAAGCAGAAATCAAGCAGAGAGAACACAGGTCCCCCTCATCCCCCCCCAAATTTGCAAACTAGCCACAGAAAGCCACCCAACCCGTGGTGGAAAAAAGAAGTCCCGGGCATTACCAAGAGGTCTGTAGTTACAGAGTTTGTGGAAACTTCCTAAATGGATTTGGAGGTGGGGGAAGGGGTCCTAGCAGCACGGGGCGTTTTAGTTTTGGGCAGAGGCCACCTGTGTTCTAACTGCTAACGGTGAATGTAAACCAGGTCTCTGAGGTTTCCGATTTGGGGGTTTTGTTTTTTCATTTTGTTTCTTGACTGAAGGATGCGCCCTGGACTGATCCCCAAAGCTTTCAGGATCACAGTGGAGACTGAAGTGAAACCAGCGCACCAATTGGAAGTCCCTGCGGACCAGTTCTGCCCCTGGAGGGAGTGTGGGCCTTCTGGAGACTCCTGCCCTCACACGGCTGGCCCCGGGCCCCCACATGCTGCCGGGAAGACACAGCGCTCCCTGGGCCAGCGGGCCTGGCTTTAGGGACCTAACTGGCAGCAGGAGGATGAAGGCAGCCTCTCTCCCCCGTCCTAGCCACGTGTGCAAGGACCCCCACCTGGGCAGCATTCTCCTCGAGCTGAGCCTGGCTCAGGGTGCAGGGCTGAGCCACTGCTCCCATGAGGACAGCATCTCAATGTGCGTGGGGCCTGGTACTTTTCCAAGGGCTTTTAAATGCATTATCTTGTTGGAGGCTCATTTGAGGCAAGGACTCGCAGCAGACTGGAAAACAACTCATTTGCTGACTCCTGAATGGGGAGGAAGCTGAATGCAGCTATGTTTTTGCTGAATCTCAAACCAAAACAACCTTTTGTTAAAGAACAAACAAATAAACAAAAATGCTAAACATCAATTCACCAAATTCACCAGGGAACATGGTCTGAAGGGAGGTTCTAGGCAGAGAATCACACAGCAAATTCAACTCAACAAACATATATTGGGGGGGCTCCTGTGGCCACAGATGTGCGCAGAGGCCAGGGAGTGACGGTGAGAAGTCCTCCCTCTCACGAACAGGGCGGGGGTGGGGGAAGCAACAGCTCCGCTGTCTCAGGTGGGTAGTGGTGAACCCGGAATCTCAGTGACCAGGTGGCTGCCCCTTTCCCAGGGCTGTGGCCTCCTCGCTCTCCTGAGAGCCAGGTGACAAAGGTTTCCCTAAACGTGTCAGAGGCCCTCCCCTTGAGTGGCCCTGTCTCCCCAGGCCTGCACAAGCCCTGCAGGGTCTGACAAAGGCTCTCTCCTAATGTCGCCACCTCTGCTGACACAGACCTGACCTCGGGGATGGGGTTTTGGTCTCAGCGCTGGGATTGGACTTGCAGTCCCTCTCCTGGGGTGCTGCTGACCACATCCCTCTTTTGCACAGGACGAGGCCGGCTGGCCCACAGTGTCAGTCTGGCTCCCGCCGCTGAGGCCTGCTGCCAGCCCAGCCGCCGGGCAGTAGGTGGTCCAGGAGCGGTGGCCAGGCTGTGACCAGGGCGGGGCTGCAGCCAGGACCTGGAGTGGGTGGTCTATAGTGACAAATAGGCCCCAGAGCCCGGGCTTCCTGGTGGGATATGGGGAGGCTCTGACCCTTCAGGCCTCCTCACCCCTGCTTCCCAGAACAGCCGAGTCTAGGCTTTACCCTCTCACAGGAGAGTGGGGTCTCCTGTCCTCTCACCTGTTCCCCAAGTCCTGGAGAAGCCCGTTAGCTCCAGCAGGAAGCCAAGAATTCTTTCCACCCCAGGTACCTTCTTCGCAAAAGACACTGCCCTTCCCTGTCTCTCGTTCTGTCTGCTGGGTAACGCGCTCTGCTCCTGGCTGCCCTCCAACCCCAGGCGGGTGCGGGGTCGAAGACCACTCACGGGAAGTTCCCAGGCCGTGTCAGCCTGTCCCCCTCCCACCTGGCTGAGTGCAGGGCTGTGGTCTCCTCTCCGGGGAGAGGGTGCCGACCCCACACGCCTCCCCAGCTACGTAGGGCTCTACCATGTCGTGTCGGTGGTGACAGTTGTGGCCAAGTTCACCCAGAAGCACTTCCTTGGCATTGCCCACTCTCTCGGGTCTGCCCGGCTGGCTGCTGTGGGCCACGAGCTCCAGCTCCGCACACACCTTCCTGGCTCTCAAGCGGGGCGAGCGGGGCTGGGGCAGCAGAATCTCTGTGCCAAACTCAGTTTCTGTACCACTCGCAGGAACCACTATCAAGTGGACCCACTGTGCCCACCTGCCCCCCCGCCACCTCCTGACCCACTGGCCTGGGCTTCGTGGGGTCAAGGGAAGCAGCTGTCTTGTCCTAAGGTCCTTTGGCCATTGGGAGAGCAACGCCTCCGGCTCACAGCCGCCCCCCGCCCCCCACAGTCTCCCTAAGGCCTGGCACGTAGGCAGGCCCTGAGCCGGAAGCTGCTCCCCAGCTGGGTCCCTGGCCCTAAGGCCGCCTTTGTGCCCGCACAAGGCAGACTCAGTTCTCCTGCTCCTTGACCCTGCATCCTGCAGCCCTTGGCGGGGGGTGGATAGTGCCAGCTGCCCGGAGCAGGAACTGGACCACCGCAGTGACCTCTGTCTCCTTCGGGGCACCTCAGAGGGAAGCTGGCGAGAGCTGCTTACTGCAAGGCCATTAAGCAAGCTAACGACCCATGAAGGCTCCTGGCCGTTCTGGCCACCCTGGTCGTGCCTCCGCTGGGCTCACAGAGCCTGCTACCCACCGCCCGCCCTGTGACCGCTATGACTGTTACTTAACGTGTCGGGCCACAGTTCTCCCACATGGGGCCGGGTCTGGGAGCTGCTGCTTGACTTTTCCAGCTGAGCTAAGGCTGTGCACACAGCAGGCAGTTAATAAATATTTATTTCGAACCAAGCCCAGAAAGAGTCACCTTGATTTCCAAGGCTGGGGAAGGGACTTGAGTCTGGGGACACTTGGTCAGGGGTGAGGTAGTCAGTGGGCCAGGGCACAGACTGGGGACATGTGTCCTGCACCTGTGCTCTGACCCGTTCCCAGCAGAGGCGGGCAGCCGCTCTCTGCCAGGTGGGGCCCGAGCCCCTGATCCTTTCGCCTAGGCAGCTGTGGGAGAGAGCACAAGAGGGGACAGAGGCCCTGCCTGCACTCTCGCTGAACTCAGGAGAAGTTGGCTCCCAGGCGCCCTGGGCCCGCCTCATCTGGGGTCAGGTGGGAGGTCTCCCTGAATCCTGGCCGCTCTTGCTCTTCAGCCCTAGAATTGTGCCTTCAGTGAAGGAAACATACCTGACCCAGTACAACACTCAGCCTCAGGATGTGCTGGGGGTGGACAGCCTTCCCTGCAGACCTGGGCTCTCAGGGCCTGGTGCTCACTTGGGAGAAGGTGACAGCAGGCCTTGGGGTGGGTTTCTAAAACAGGGCGGGAGAGAGAGTGAGACACAGGCCAAGATGCGATGTGGTGCAGCCACATTTAATTCAACCGCCAGTGGATTCTAAGGGGCCAGAGCAGAGACTCCACTCGCTTTATAAAACTGAGTCCCCACGCAAGTCGCCTCCATCCTTTCAAAAGGGTGGACTGTCCGGAGACAGCAGCAGCCCGGGCCAGAGCACGGGCCGGGGCTCTCCGTGACGTGGGCCATGTGGGGAACCTGGGGCAGGACGCAGGGCCATAGGCACCCATCTGGGCGCCAAGGAGATGCAGGAGGCCTGAGGGCCAGTAGCCAAAGGCGTGGGGCTGCCCATGCGGAGGCCCCAGGAAGCAAGTGCAGAAGCTGGTGGGAGGCCTGCCGACCACTCACACAGCCCGATGCTTCCAGCCCTTCCTCAGGCCGCCCCCCCCCCCCCCCCCCCCCCCCCCCGTCGCCC